CCCCCGACACACATATACAGAATAAAGGAAGACAGAAAAATAGAAAGAAAGAAAGGCTAGAAAGAAAGCTACAAAGAACACTACTTATAACAGATTCAACATTTTCCATCTTTTCTATGCTATTGACAACGATGTAGAAGCCCCTAGCGCCCAAGCACACAAGTTTGACCAGTCACAGTCAGGCTGCCCCCCGGCCCTTGACCAGGTTACGGCCCCTGTCTGAGGTCAGACTGGATTTCATGGACCTTGTCATTGACTAAAGTTGAGATCGTGACAGGGCTATCCCCTCAGGTTGTGCACAACTAATCATGGCATTTTGTGCTTGAACGGGAATTACTGACAACACTAAAGGGGAGATCGTGATATTTTTTTTAAAAACATGTGTTCTTACGTCACCATCGACACAATTTAGGTAATTGAGCCGGTGGGCCTCTCCTTGACTTAGAGGAGAACTATGTCCAAGTAGAAAGATTGAAACACTCAATAAAAATTCTCCTCACACGGCAATCGAACTCTGGTCTTCTACGTGCGACGACCAAGCACCTAACCGCTACACCACAGACGCTGGTACAATGGGTTAAATTATCTGCAAGTATCAGTGGACAGGTTTAATCAAAAGCCACCAAAATAATCAGTCTTGACAAAGCACTCGTGATCAAACGACGTCCTCGTATGCGTATAGCTTATGATGCAAAAATCCACTTTAAAGAAAAAGTATCACCAACAGCATCTGCAGCTATTCAGATTCATAAACTGCGACTATTTTATCTACTTTCGGGGATTAGCAGCTCAATAACCTTTTACTAAAGCGATCCTGCCCCGTAAAATACTCCGGTAAGGATACCATGTCTTACGTGAGTCTTTGTAAAACAGTTCTTTCACACAAAACATTATCAAAATGCTTTAAAAGGTGAAATATAGTTCCTTACCGAACTTAACTGGGAGAACTTTTTGTTCAAATACAAAGAAAGCGATGCAGCTATCGTTGACAAGATAGATCATGGTACAGAGAGATCGAAGAAAAGGAAGGATGCTTTTTGTTAAAACAACAATACGGTGGTGAAATTATCAAAAGTTACCCCCCCCC